TTCTAAAAATACAAATAAGTGAACGAAAATAAGAGTTTTGTTTTCGTTTGATTAAGAAAATACCTATTATAGCTTTAATTTATTAAATGTGACATACAGGGTGAATATAAAGTATGGAACCAAGCGGTGTGGTTTTATTATGAGTTATGCGATTTTTTTTTGTCAAAATTGCAATTAATGTGAAAAATTTTTTTTTGAAAAAATTAAATATAAAGCAGATAGTTGTAATCCTTAGAGTATAGCTTTTATGAGAAAAATGATTTTATAGTGGGTTGCTATTTAAAAAAATATTTTTTTTGTAGAACTCAAAAAGAAAAAGAAATTTCGAAAAATTTTATTCTTGTTAAATCTTCACATTTTTATAGTACTTTATCACTCATCAATTAGTTTTTTCAAAAAATAAATAGTTTAAGCAAAAAACGTTTGGTTTTTACTTTTTATTCACCTGGTATGTGTGACTCGTGGAACAGCTGAAGTCATATTGGAATTAAAATTACTCAATAAGAATAATGCAAAAGAAAATTCAAGACTTGCGCTTCAATAAATTATTGACAGAAATTATTATACGCTTTTTGACAAAAACGAGTATAAGCAAGTTAGAACCAAAATCTATGTTGGTCTGTGTTTAAAAAAAAACTTGGATGTGACAGCGCGTTACTTAGTCGACGATATTGATATAAACAAAGCAAAAATTGTATGTAGTAACAAATAAGTTTTTTTATATTTTTTCTTTTTTTTTACTAGGTGTTTTCATTTCAGTTAGTTGATAAAATAACCTAAGAATCGTTGTATATTTTATAGTAATAAATAATAATTAATTTGAGTTTTATTAATAATAAAATATTTTAGTAAAAAATTTAAAATAAAATGTCACAAAATCAACTTTTCACTAAGTTGTCTAGTCAACTGATTGATTTTATATAAAAGTAATAGATATTTAATTGTATCACAAATAATGCTGTTGGGAAATAGTTATTTACCTAACGAATTCGGAAAAATAACTTTCCGAAAGAATAAGGTACAAGGCTTTTTGTAACGAATAACTCAAAATTATGTAAAAAAAAAGATAATTTAGTCACATAATTTTTCAAAACGATTATACGATATTTCGTTCAAAATCGAACTTTCATGGAGAGTTTTGACGCCAAATTTAAAAAAAAAACACCCGTTATAATAATTAAAATTGAATTTATTATTTTTTATAAAGCAACTTGTAATTTACTTCCAATAGTTGTTTATTATACAGAGTGGTTAAAAATAATTTTCATCTAGCCAGCTTTGGAATTTTTTTGCATCTAACTTTATTAGTGCCGCTCTACTTTTTTCAAAGCTCTAGTTCTGTCATTAGTGTCACTTATTAATTAGTAATAAATTGTTGTGAATTAAACTTTTATTGTTTCAACTAATTTCCAATAATAATTGATAATAATGTATACTTTGGTAGAAAACAATTTTATAATTGAAGTCTATTTTCGAAGTGGACGATTTTTTATTTTATTGTCGTAAAGCGGCATTTTTTAAAGTTAAAGTTTCCGCTGTCAAAAATCAGGATTGCCATCTGAAGGACTATAATCATCGCCTACTCTATTTTTTTTTTGATCGGACGGTACAACAATGGATGTATTTTTTATCATCTAGACGATAAAATTTCATTTTAACATGAAGAAAAGAGTAGATAAAATTCAATTTTAACATAGATTGAATAAAATCAATTATTAATTTTCATAGGTTTTGTTTTTCGTGAGCAACTGAGGAAACAAATTGATCGGCCATCTTGAATTAACTGTCATTTGTGTTTGTGGTGTTTAGTGTTACCTAGATATCGAATTTTGCGATTTATTGAATAAAAGACGTTAAAATAACATCATAATAATTTTATAGTGGAATTATTTGCCTCAATTTCATAAAATAAACCAAAAATTGGTCACAAATCTAATCCTTCGTAGTGTTCATTGTGATCAATATTTCCAATAAATAAATCATAACATTGTGTGGATAATTCAATTAACTAATGGAATAAATTAGGTTAGTGTGAGAGCAACAATGGCGGAACTCCAGGACTCTCTCCCCCCAGGTTGGGAGAGCAGAACCGACTTTATATCCGGAAAAACGTAAATAAACCCCCAAATTGTGTAACTGTGATTAAAATTCATCCCCTAGGTATTACATAAATCACAATACGAAAACTACAACATGGGATGATCCAAGGACTCGTCAAAAACACACCACCCCCAAACATGTTGAGTACATCCCTCTCCAGGTGAATAGCAATTTTCCTGCAACTAGTAAAAGTGTTTGGTGTGTCTTAACTTCACGAATTTTGTACACGCTGCTTGGATTCTTTAGCATGGATCACCAGATCTGAGAAGGAATTATGTTTACCCCAGTCAAATTTCCCCTATACCGGCTTTTCAGATCTCTTCAACACAAAACCCCAAGTGTAATCCGTTGCAGGTACTCACTCTCATATCACAGGGCAACAAAAAAGTCATGTGACAACAAATGCACAAAAAAATATTCAAAAAGTCCACACACTTTGAACTAATTATTTTTTTTTCTAATTTAAACGAATTTAAAATACTTTAACTTTAAAAAATCATTACTCAATAACTATTAGGCCGATTTTTATTGACCAATTTTGTAGATGAGGTGCACATTATGTTTTTTCTTTAACTCGAAGCGTTTCATCTTTAGTTGTTGCGAAAGAATCAAATAAGTTTTTTATAATTTATATTAAAAATCTCATTGTTATAAAACAACAAAATCTCAAAATATGACTGAAAATTTAATTATTATCATTGTGATAAAAGAAAAAACAATTACACTACAAAAAGTAAGAAACTAAGCATTTTTTTCAATCATTTGTCGTCAGAAAAGTGAAAAAAATTGTTTTGTTTCAACTTAAATGAAATTTTTATCGATAAAAATTGAATAAAATGTACCTAGATAGTTGTAACCCTTAGATAACAGCCTTAGTAAAAAAAATACAAAAATCAATAAAACCTGTGATAATATAATTAAAATAAAAAATTACTTTTTTTACATTTTTTACTGTTTTATAGGTATTTTGAAACTATAAATTAGGCTTTCATAATGAGAGCTTTTTTGTTTTTAAATTGAAACTGTTTAAAAAAATAGTTGATTTTATTTTATTAGCTAATTTATGTCAAAACCTTGCAAATTCAACATGTTTCTGGCCCAATTTCATACGAAATCGTAGAAAACAGGTCAATTTTAGGTGTTTTTCAGCTTTTTAAATGAAATCTCACAAAATAAAATAAAAATTGTTAAAAAAAAACGAGCATAAAGAATATTGAAAAAGACCAAATAACGTCAATTTAGATCTAAGTTGGTAATTTTTTAGCTAGTTTAATAAAATTTTGGAAAATAAGTAAGTCCCTGGCCCAAAAACTTACTGTTTTTTGAGGATTTTATAGCTGTAACGATAGAAGCTTTTTTTATTTAAAAATGAGCTAAATCGTTTCAAACAAGCCAATTTCGATATAATTCAAAGATTTTTGGACTTATTTTGAGAAAATTTTAGAAAATATATTTTTTTTATAAAAGCAAAATCGCTTGAAGAAAGCCAATTTGAGCATAATACAGTGATTTTCCGGCTTATTACGACNTAAACTAACTAAAAAATTACCAAGTTAGATCTAAATTGACGTTATTTGGTCTTTTTCAATATTCTTTATGCTCGTTTTTTTTAACTATTTTTTTTTTAATTTTGTGAGATTTCATTTAAAAAGCTGAAAAACACCTAAAATTGACCTGTTTTCTACGATTTCGTATGAAATTGGGCCAGAAACGTTGAATTTGCAAGGTTTTGACATAAATTAGCTAATAACATAAAATCAACTATTTTGATTTTTTTCAATAGATTTACATTGTTTTGGAGTCATTTTTTTTTCATCAAATTATGCTCAAATTGGCGTTATTTTGGCTATTTCAAGCGATTTTGGTCTTACAAACTTTTTTATTTCTTAAAATTTTGTCAAAATAAGTCGAAATACGTCGAAATTGAGGTAATTTTGGTCTGTTTTAAACAGTTTTAATTCAAAAACAAAAAAGCTCTAATTTTGAAAGCCTAATTTATAGTTTCAAAATACTATAAAACAGTAAAAAATGTAAAAAAAGTAATTTTTTATTTTAATTATATTATCACAGGTTTTATTGATTTTTGTATTTTTTTACTAAGGCTGTTATCTAAGGGTTACAACTATCTATTTTATTCAATTTTTATCGATAAAAATTTCATTTAAGTTGAAACAAAACAATTTTTTTCACTTTTCTGACGACAAATGATTGAAAAAATGCTTAGTTTCTTACTTTTTATAGTGTAATTGTTTTTTCTTTTATCACAATGATAATAATGAAATTTTCAGTCATATTTTGACATTTTGTTGTTTTATAACAATGAGATTTTTAATATAAATTATAAAAAACTTATTTGATTCTTTCGCAACAACTAAAGATGAAACGCTTCGAGTTAAAGTAAAAACATAATGTGCACCTCATCTACAAAATTGGTCAATAAAAATCGGCCTAATAGTTATTGAGTAATGATTTTTTAAAGTTAAAGTATTTTAAATACATTTAAATTAGAAAAAAATTATTTAGTTCAAATGTGTGGACTTTTTGAAATTTTTTTAGTGCATTTGATTTGTCTTACTGAGACGAACAAATGATATACAGGGTGTTTGAGGATTGCGAGCAAATATTTTAACCACTCAAAAGAAACAACTTTCGTTATTCCAACTTTTGTCGAAAGCACGTCATTTCTGAGTTAAAATAAAAAATAAATACAGGTTGAAAACCCGTCCCCGCCTATGTCTTAATACGATGTTTACAATCATTCATAAGAAAAAACTTTGGAACGTAAACAGCGTAAAGACAAAAAAATTATCGCTACATCAATGTCAATGTTAGTGGGTCAATATTGCTATTATAAAAAATTGCTCGAAATGTGGTCATTCGTTGGCAATGCACATTTCTTGTACACTAATTCACTAATTGTTTCATGTGAACCCCCAAAAAACACGTCCTCCACCAGATCGTTAAACGTTGTGGGGTCCAATTTGGTGATCTTCAATGATCGCTGCCCAAACATTTAGTGAAAATCGGTCGTACACAAGTGATAATTTTTTTGGACAAAAAGTTTCCTTTTTTCTGTATAAAAACTTTCACGGTCAACATTCATTGCAATTTATTTTCATTGATATTTTTACTTCCAACTAACACTGAACTGCTCGTGAAAATCTTATGGGGGAAATTGCAAAAATAAAATTTGGATACGGAATTTGCTTGAACTTCACATAACAAATTCTCTTAGTGGTTAAAATATTTGCTCGCAATCCACAAACACCCTGTATAATTTGTCAAAATGTCACATTATTTTTTTTTGTCGCCCTGTGTATTACTGTTAAGTGTGCTTTTTCCTATTCGTGCCCACTATTTTAAATCGATAGAAAAATTAAATTGTGTATTTCGCAGGAGCTTCGTGGGGGCTCCCGTCTGAGCCCGTTGACCGTCCGCGGGGCCAAAGTCCAAGACAGCTCCCTAACCATCCACTCAGAGACCGACGATGCTGTCTCAAAAATCAGCGCCATGTTCCCCACCGTCTCCGAGACCCACATTCGTCTCCTGATGAAGAAGTAAGTACCCCAATAGTGTGTTAAACTGTTAAACTAACCACTTAGCTTCTGCATACTAACACACCGCCTTTCATCTTGCTTTTCTACCATTTTCTAGGTATCACAATCGGGAAGCTCTTGTGATAAGTGCGTTACAGGTGGAAAAAAATCCAATCACAACACCGGGACCTTTTGCAACGCCCCCGCCACAGCGAAACATCCACCATCCCGGTGTACATGCATTACAAATGACGCCCCCCCTTGGGCTGCGCACCAGCTCCAGGGGCGGCAGTCCGGTCTTGAGGCCTGGATCGGGGGGCAACTCTCCGCGCGTCGGAGATGCCTTCAAGGGGTCGCCGAGGCCGCATTCTTCGCCCAAATTAAAACTAAGGTCCTTGGTTCGGCTATCACCCCCCGTTTCATGATTATTTGCTATTTTTGACATTTCTTTCAACACCCACAAAAAATGAGTTTGATTCGTTTATTTTCACGCTTACATTTCGTTAATTACTTGAACCAAGGAATAGAATTAATTCATTATTCATGTATCTTTAGAGTGATTTGTGCCTTAAAATCAAGCAATATTTCATTAAAAGTGTCTATACAGGGTGTTCCGTCTAAACCCCACATTAAAAGTATTGGGAGTTCGAATAAACATATTTATTTGATAATTGGTACGTAGTCATAAACCATTAACTCCTCCTAAATGAAAATATTTTCAAGTAAGTATTTTCGGTAATACCGGAAGTCGGTCTCAACTTTCTTATTTTAAATGGAAAGGTATATTTTTTACTGCATTTTTGGATTAATCGGGTCATTTTAAGGGAGTTTTCATCAGCTTTCCCTATACTTAAATTTAGCCGTTTTTGAAATATTTGGAGTTTTTCAAAAATTTTTGGATCTGCACCTTCCACTTTAAAAATCGGTAACTCTGCTATTTTTTAAGATTTTGAATTCGTTTTATTGGAGTTTGAAAGAGAAAGTGTAGATCTTTCTTCCGGTGTTTTCAAATTTTGAAAAAAAAAATTAACAAACCCTAAAATTTTAAGGTTACTTTTGTAATAATTCAAATACCCATAACTCAAATTTTCCAAATGAAATACCCCAATTTTTATTTTACTAAATGGAAGAGAATTTAATTCTGCATCGATCTGTATTAACATTCCCTATACCTAAATTCAATAATTTTCAAGTTATTTTGACTTTTTGTTAAGACTGTCAAAAATCTATTACGTTTTCGTATAGTTTGCTATGGAAATCAAAAATGTCAAAATTGTTTCTCAATAAACGTCGATAGTGACTTATCATTTGACAAATAGTGCCAAAATATGGAGAGTCAAAGCTACTCAAACTTAAATTTAATTAATTTATTTCGTATTTATAGAGTGTAACAAAATTATGATGTCGTTTATTAAACAAAAATAAATTTTTCTCACTTGTTAGCTTTAAATAATGATCGCATGGTAGAACCTATCAATAATAATTAAGCTTGCATAACTTTGAATCTTCATATTTTGGCACTATTTGTCAAATAGTAATTTACTGTTGACGTTTGTTTAGAGAAAATTTTGACATTTTTGATTTCCATAGCAAACTATGTGAAAACGGGTGTGGCTAGTAATAAACTTTGTTTAGTCTTAAAAAAAAGTCCAGAACTTGAAAATTATTAAATTTAGGTATAGGGAATGTTAATACAGATCGATGCAGAATTAAATTCTCTTCTATTTAGTAAAATAAAAATTGGGGTATTTCATTTGAAAAAATTGAGTTATGAGTATTTGAATTATTACAAAAATAACCTTAAAATTTTGGGATATGTTATTGTTTTTTCAAAATTTGAAAACACCAGAAAAAGGATCTAAGCTTTCTCTTTCAAACGCCAAAAAAACAAATTTAAAATTTTAAAGAATAGCAGAGTTACCGCAAATCAAAAATTTTTGAAAAACTCCAAATATTTCAAAAACGGCTAAATTTAGGTATAGGGAAAGCTAATAAAAAATCCCTTAAAATAACCCGATTAATCCAAAAACGCAGTAAAAAATATAGCTTTCCATTTAAAACAAGAAAGTTGAGACCGACTTCCGGTATAACCGGAAGTGCCGCCATCTTGAAAATATTTTCATTTAAGAGGACTTAATGGTTTATGGCTATGTACCAATTTTCAAATAAACACGAATATTCGAACTCGCAATACTTCTAATGTGGGGTTTAGACGAAACACCCTGTATTTAGCAGAAACAGTCATTTAAGCATTTATTTCGTTGCAATTTGTTTTATTTTGGGCAAAACCACAATTTAAGCAATTATTTCGTAGTAATACATTGATTTCTGTACAAAAATCGCTTTATTTTGGTAGCAAATTGTCATTTATTTGGTTAAAGTGCATTAAAGCTTGGGGTGCATGTAGACTAATCAAGTACTCAGAACAAAGTAAATGACTTTGTGTAGTTGCAGGTACATGAAATCGATTTTTCCCCAAGCTGACGAAACGGTTATTTTGGACATACTGTATAATAATGAAAGTAATATACAGAAAGCGTCTGAAATTTTGTCTGAAATGGGCTTCAATCGAAAAGATACTGTAAAAGCAGCTCAACTAAAAATGGAAACAAGAATTGAAGAAAAACGAATTGAAGAAGTGAAGAGAAATGAACCGCCACCGCCTCCACCTAAGATTAAGACAAAGGAAGAAAAAGCAGCATGTAATTAATTAAAAATTAATTTTAATTAAATTCCATTACGTTTATTTCAGTAAAAGAAGAAATGAAAAAGAAATATGCTGAGGTACCTGAACATTTGATTAAAATAGCATTAGAGAGTGTTGATTTTAATGAGAGTAGAGCCAATCAAATTCTTGAGATTATTATACAGGAAGACACCGATAAGAAGGCAGCGGAAAGTGTGGCAATTGGCAACGAAATTCAGGAGTATGTTTTTGAGTTCAATTTTTACAATTTTCACTTTGATTTTCAGGGAAATTGTGAAAAAATCTGAACTCAAAGTAACAGAAATGCCAACTTCACAAAGTCGCCAATCAATCAAGTCGCTACTGAAAGCCGATAAAGTAGAAAAGGATAAAACCACATATTCCAGGTCGGTATTTACACAATTTTTTTTAAAATTTACACATCATTTTTAGACTTGTTGAAAATATGTCACCAGAGCGTCGTTCCCCGAATATCATGAGCACAAAAGGGCCTAATGTGGATTTAATAAAGGGACCAAACAGTAAAATCCTTTTGTAAGTGTTTTTTATTTAGGTTGTTTTATTTAGTTTTGATCGATTTAGGGAGGACTACGTCAATTGGCAAGGGCCTAATTCCAACATCCGTAAAGGTCCCCAAGGGCTGAGTAAGGGGGCTAACCGATCCTTGCTTTCGCAGAGAACCTACCAAGCCTGTGGTTCAAACCCAGAGTTGCGCAAAGGCCCCAAACAGGGCTTAGCCAAAGGCAGTATCTTCTCCCAGTTGAAAAATGTGGCTGTTGGGGGAGAGTCTCGGGGGAAGTAGCAGTTCATGTGTACTATTATTTAAAGCATCGAATTTTGCAATTTCACAAACTATTGATTTTTGTTATCCAAAAATGCAATCCTATTATTTAAGAAGGCTGTGGCTTGGAACTTATGCCGCCCAATTGGAAATTCCTGTGCCCCCACATATCCGATTATATCACAAGTCCCCCAAACTATTTTCCGTGCTATTTTAAATGATAAATGTACCCTAAATATTTTTGTACTGTGAACATACTTGTAGCTAGACAATGTCAAATGCTTTTAAATTGTTCTGTGTTTTAGTGATCTCGAAATAAAAAACTTTCGTGTTGTTTTCATTGTTTTATTTATACTTACATTAAACTTCGTCTTCATTTAGTAATAAATTGGGAATTCCGTTATTGATGGGGAATTTCCTTCCAGTTTCTGGACAGATCAATTCGCCGTTTATTATGTCTATTTCCAGCAAGGCGTGGTGTGCTTTCTTCAGGAATTCGTGGTCGTTTTCGTAATTCTCAACCACGTCTTTGGGAAGCCCCTCCAACTGCCCTATGCTTTGGGCTGCGTTGTATAACACTCCCCAGTCCACTTTTGGGATGATTTTGGCCACGAAGTCCGGATTGAAGTCCACTTCCGAGACTCGCACATCAGAAGCCTGAAAAAATAAATGACATAACCTAAAAACAACAACTTTTTCGTGTTTTGCTTGCATTTTTGAACTAAATTGGATTACTCACAGTGATACCTAGTGGATATCCAACAGTAACGACTTTAATGCATTTGGAAGTAAGCATGTTGTGAGTTAACAATTTCATTTTTACAAGTGTTTTCGTTGGTTAGTTATTGACCATGTGATTTAAATTACGCGCCAGCGTTAACAGGAAATTAGTGACACTTTGAGTCCAATTTAACTACAATTAACAACTTAATAGGAATTTTTCGACTAGTACGGTTATTTGTAATAAATTCGTTAATTTCGTGTTGTGAATTGACGAAAACTGTGTCTTTTTTGGACAATTTGGTGTGATTTAGTTGCAGTTTTGTGTGACTTTGGCGCGGTGTTTCCGGTACAACACAACGCTAAATCCCTAACTCATCGCCATATTCCCGTTTAGTTATATTTCACCTTTTTAGTAACTTAGAAAAATAACCGTTTGCTGTTGGCGCGTGAAATGGAAAGCGAAGAAACCGACCAAATTCAAGAAGTCGAAGAAGAGTCTCAAGATTCACAAGAACTGGGCGAAATTCCCGTACAATTAGACGACTCTTCAGTTTCTTACGCCACTTTAAGTCTAACAAACAGTTCGAATATCGTTAGAGGAAAATATTACAAACAGACGTATCGCCCAGCATGGGAACAGATGCCAGATTTTAAAGGTAAGAATTGACGAGTTTTCATCGAGAAATTGACAAATTTTTCAAAGGTTGGCTTAGAGGAGTCGTTGGGGAACCCACGCGGGCCTATTGCACCTACTGTCAGAAAACCCTACATGCCCATCGGCTGAGCCTCCTCAAACACACGTGCACCATCAGGCACCAGAAAGCGGCCCAAATACACAACAATCGCAAGGTAGGGGGCTATATACAGGCTGATCCAGCGAAAAAACGCCGATTCCCTCAGTATTATTTTCCAATAGTTGGCCTTGTTTATTTGACAGGTGACCATTTTAAGTGCTCCAAAGGTGATTTGATTGTATTCACCCCTTTTGTTTAATCAATTAAGTCTTTGACTTTGAAGTTAAGTTGGCATCATTGTTTTATTCCAGTCATAGGCCTCTATGAAATTTAATTGAACAAGTTCAGGCAGGTGATAAAATAGGGCTAAAATGAATTATAATTGAAAAGTGATGTACAATCAGCGTAGAAAAGATTGTCCTCCTAATAAACCGCGCAATAAATTTTTACTCAGTTTACTTTCAATTGAGTAACAAATTTTTGAAAAACATTCAGAGCTTTATACTGCAACTTAAAATTAAAATAAAAAATTATTTTAATTGATGCTTAATTAGTTATTTATTTACTAAGATAACAAATAAATGCCGTTTTAAATGGCGTAATTAAATAAACAATATTATTATTAGAAATACCTAATAAAAACTGTTTAACATAACTCTTTAAAATATTGATACTTACATTTTTTTTTTTTGATAAAGTAAATAAATTAAATAATTTCATTATTAATTTTTATTCAATTCAAACAGGTAGACGTATAAAAAAAGAATATTTAAATAAAAACAAACTATTGAGATGTTTACAACCAAGATATGAGTTGGATAACTTTTGGATAATTTTTGTTTTTTTTCTTCATTTCTTAAAGAATTCTTTCTTGTTTTTTCTTTTTGTTTTTGAGCGACTGGCAATGATTTTTTTTTACTTTTAGTTATTAAGTAACTTCCGAATTTATTTTTATTTAAATTTTATATTGTTTAGAATAATTATTTTTACTTTTATGTTATAATTATTTTTTTCTATCAATTTTCTTTTGAGGTTATCATTATTATTATATTGCAATCACAAAGCAATTGTAACAATTCGTTTTTGCTACTTTTT